TTGCGATTCAGTGGGAGCCATAATTTTCAATAAGGGGGTTCAAAATTAGAAAGTAAATACACGAAGATGCCAAATGGGGTTCAATATCTACTATATATACATAAAAAATAATTTTAACCATGTGTAGTGTAATTTTCCACCGAAGAGCCCCCTTGGTCCTACCTGGCTCCAAACCTGTTTGCAATGCTGATGGAGGGGTTTGTCTATTGGACAATCTGTCGGCTGATGTGGACATATGCTTTAATTGTCAGGCTCTTATTCACTTAGATATTTTTAAAACATGTTACCTGCAATCTCCACTACTCTAGTGATCAAACTATTTTTCAGCTTACTTCTTCGGGCTGCCTTAAGAGATTTGTCTTCTAAATGAATAAATACATTAAGTTCCCCACATATGTCACTGCTGTCTTATGTTACCAGCGTTACTTGTTTCCCTTCCTGACGAGCAGTTTTATATCATTCAGGTTATTCAGATGAATATTGACGAGTCCATGCGCAAACATATTGCTCAAGAACTGAGAATTAATCAGTCATCCCAGTGTCCATATGTTGTCATATGCTATCAGTCGTTCTTCGACAATGGTGCTATATCCTTAATTTTGGAGTATATGGATGGTGGTTCCTTAGCAGATTTTCTGAAAAAGGTCAAAACAATACCTGAACGATATCTTGCTGTTATCTGCAAGCAGGTACCCAGTGAACAATTTGTATTCCACGAGAGAAGAATTTGTTCAAGTACTAATGTTTCAACCTTGTTCCTTCACCAATTAGGTTCTCAAAGGCTTGTGGTATCTTCATCATGAGAAGCATATTATTCACAGGGATTTGAAACCTTCGAATTTGCTAATCAATCATAGAGGTGATGTCAAAATCACAGACTTTGGTGTGAGTGCAGTACTGGCAAGCACATCTGGACTGGCTAATACCTTTGTCGGAACATACAACTATATGTCTGTGAGTATCTGTGACCTGATTTTTTGTAAAAGCGAGTATAGAACTGCACTGCTAGGTAATTTTCACTCATAAATATCACAGAGAAATATTTTCCTAGCATATCTTTCTGCAACTTCATCACTCTCTCCGTTTCAATTTGTTTGTTTAGTCCGTTTAAAAAAGAATGCCTCTTTCCTTCTTTTGGCAACTTCTTAATTCCAACTTTCCACGCGATATGGTCTTATTGTTTGTTTAGTCCGTTTAAAAAAGAATGCCTCTTTCCTTCTTTTGGCAACTTCTTAATTCCAACTTTCCACGCGATATGGTCTTATTGTTTGTTTAGTCCGTTTAAAAAAGAATGCCTCTTTCCATTTTTGACAACTTTTTAATTCCAACTTTCCACTCCACATGTCTGAGACCACAAGATTAAAGGACATTTTGGTACATTTGGCATATCTTTAATTTAAGACCACAAGATTCAAAAGTCTTCTTTACTTTCTTAAACTCCGTGTCAAGTCAAAACTAGACAAACAAATTGAAATAGAGGGAGTAGTACAATCTGCCTATGCTAAAAACATCCAAGTTGCTGATGTTCTATTGTCTGCTACAGCCAGAGAGAATTTCAGGAGGTGCCTATGATTACAAAAGCGACATTTGGAGCTTGGGTTTAGTCTTACTCGAGTGTGCAACAGGTCATTTCCCATATACACCACCCGAGGGAGATGATGGCTGGGTCAACGTCTATGAACTTATGGAAACCATTGTTGACCAACCAGAACCTTGTGCACCTCCTGACCAATTTTCTCCACAATTCTGCTCATTCATATCTGCATGGTAAGCGCTATAGTTTTGTACCATCTGGAACTATTAATCCAATTGTCCTATGAGTGTCTGGTAGATGTGCTTTCTAGTTTGGAAGCTCACTACACAATTACTTGTTTCAGTGTCCAGAAGCATCAGAAGGACAGACTGTCAGCAAATGAACTCATGGTAGTGATAATCATTTTTTTTGTCTTTCTCGAAGTTGCTTATTGATCAATTACTAATGTAGTGGCTATTTGGGATTCATGTAATACAGAGTCACCCTTTCATCACCATGTACGATGACCAGGATATCGATCTTGGATCTTACTTCACTTCCGCAGGACCTCCATTGGCAACACTTACTGAGCTATAATTGGTATGCTTGCTTAAGTTTTTGTTATATGTACTCCTTTTGTAGCTTTTAGAAAGATCTAATTTAAGCTAGGAACTTCTTGTGTTTCTATTTTTATAAGTATATATTCGAGTGTCTTTGGCACAAATTTTCTTCTTCATCATCTTGGATCAGAGCCATTAGCATTATGTAATTGTCTGCGGCTCTTTTCTTTGTCGTCAAATACCCAAGGGTTATTTGGTCACAAAGACCTTGCCTCTCGTTGCAACTCACTCAACCCTCTAGCTAGTTCCATTGACCAGTTAAGGTCTCGTAAGATAGAGTGACCCACGCACAGCGGTCTTGTATGAGCAATTCACTTCTATTTACGTACACATTTGCTTATAGTGAAGGTTGAAGAATATTATGTTATTTATCTTCCTAATATCACTTTACTAATATCTGTGTTCTGGGTAGTTTCAAATTGTTAATAGCTGATACAGTTATCTCCGGCAGTAAATGAATCTGTATACCAGAAAAATGGCTAGAAGGGATGAATTAGAAATGAATTCGTAAACTCCCTATTTCAAAAATTCCTTTGTTGCTTCTGGAATAGAAAATGTGAAGCTGTTTCATAGTTCAAAAGTTTGGTTTAGCCTCTCAACGTTCTCTCATAAACCATATTTTGTTGATTGGACAAACTCCTTGCCTCTGACTTTTGACAATTTATCGTAAAACTAAGTGGTCAATTTTTTTTAAGTAAAAACATTTGTTTGTGGAGGACACGTATTAGGGTAGTAGGTTAACAAGTAGTAGAGTGTGGTCTTCATTATCCTTCCGTACTATTAGGGTAGTAGGTTAGCAAGTAGTAGAGTGTGTTCTTCATTATCCTTCCGTACTATTAGTCGTAGTATTACTCTTGTAGTTTCTTGTTACTAGATTTCTATTAGTATCTTTTGCTTCCTATACTTCGATAATCGTGGTTTTTGTTGTAGTTATTGATGCTTTGTCATGCTTTCTATAATATTTTGCCATGACTTCTTCATTTCTGTTATTTCCTTTTCTGAACTGCTTAGATCTCTTTTCATCGAGCCAAGGGTCTATCGGAAACAACCTCTCTATCTCTAGGGTAGTTGTTGTTGTTTGTTAATCCCCTTCTACTGGATTTTTGGTTACTACTCAGATCTTACTTTAAACTCATGATTAATCATCCTCGACTGTTTATTGTACTTGTGCTCAAATTTTTTATTATTTCACTTCACTTAAATATGTAACCAAAAGAGCTTCAGAATCTTTTCAACTGGTGTGATTTCAGCAATTACATTGTGACGAGCCTTGTTATGTATGTGAGGTCCTTTCGCCAACCAGATAATTTTTCCGATATAACAGCTCTATCCTATTGTCCAAAAGCATGATTCTTCTATGTGTGCCATTCTTGAAATTTAGTCTTGACTTCTTATTCTCACAGGTTTTCTACAATGTCTTGCAACTGATGGAATTTTGGTCAATTAGCTTTTCCAGTCACAATGTTCCAAAAATTAGAAGCCTTTTAAGAAGGCATTGAGAATCAAAATGAAGCAGATGGAGCCATTGTTGTACTTTTCAAGCCTCCGGTAGGTAGCGTTGGGAGTGTAACTGTGACATTTTCTACTATGTATGTGATTCAAATGGGAACAACTCCAGATATCCTTTTGATATGACTTATTTTTGACATTAATCCTTGGTGGTGCAAGTGTTTTTGGTTTACAATTTGACTTCTACCTTTTAGCACATGAAGCTGTTTATTGTCAGTGTTGAACTGAATGTAAAATTATTAAGCTCCCATTTCTCCTAATGAGATCAATTTAGAGACCTTTCAATGAATCAACTTTTCGAGGATCTATCAGAAACTGTCTCTCTAATCCACAAAGGTAGGGGTAATATTTGTGTACATCCTATCCTCCCCAAACCCCACTTGTGGGGGATTACATTGGGTATTTTGTTGTCAATGAATTGACTTCGTTTTCTAGATTGAAGTTTTACATGTCTAAAGAGTTGCGGAAATTACAGGCCAAGTATTTCAAAACATGAAAAAGTTCTTGGAATCATAATGGTTATCATTATACTATCGGGAACAGGCTCTCTACCCCACAAAGCTAAGGGTAAGGTCTATGTAAATTCTACCTTCCTCGGATTCTACGTGTGGGATTATACCACTTGGTATGTTATTGTTCCTGTAATGGTTATCGTTATGCTATACCCCTTTAATATAAATGTAAGTAATATAGATATAGCTAATCCTGTATGGAACTAGCCTTCATAAACTGGAAGGCTAAAAGTATGCAATATTTGCCTTTTCTTTATCAGGCTAAGATACATTCACAGTGTGACTAACTGGGAATATCCAGTAGTACATTTCCTTTTTGAACTTCCTTTGAGATTTCAATTTCCACAAATTATGTCGTAAAATGCATAATTTAATTCCTACAGAACTTACGACCGAGGCAAAAGTTGTCTAAATTTATGCCGAATGAATTAAGTCATAGATATACTACACAACTTATCCGGCATAACTTAATTCTTACTGAACTTATGTCAACCGAGGCAAAAGTTTTTTGAACTTATGCCGAGCGAATCAGGTCATAGATAAGGGTACTTTGATGCACAAATTTCATTAAATGAGCAGTAGGGGTGAAATTAAAGATCATCATATTTAAGGACAAAAATTAAAGGCCACCCCAAAAGAGACGCAATTCGTGCAAAAACTTGCCATTTTTATCCAATCAAACGTTAGGCGTATCAAACAGTTCAGTCATGGTCCATCCGTTCTAATCCAGCTCGCTCATTTGACACCTCTGGCTGTCGGAAAAAGATACAAAAACTGATTTAGAAGGAAGCAAACTATTTGATTTCCCCATTTTCTTGGTACAGCTGTGTGAATGTACAAAATCTGTGAATAAGAACTGAAAGGGTTCTAGACAGATATGATTAAAGCCATTCTTAGCTCTTCCTACACGAGTAGTCAAGTTAAATGATCTCTTAATGTTTGTATACACAACTTTCAAGATTGAAAAAGGAAAAAAAAAACTCCTAGTGATAGCTGCAAGAAACCTATCCAGAGACCCTATATTGTCACTTTTACATTTTAAAGTGTTGTAAATGGCAATCTGCTTTTGTGGACAAAGGAGCAATGGTCGGAACTCGAATTGAACACTCAATGTTATTACCTCCAGAAAAAACCATAAAAATGGCATGTTGATCATTTAGTTTTATCGTAGAACTTGGATGCTCATCACAGAGTTACAGTATCTGCTGATGCCGCGAGGACAAGCATTTCATTGTCATCGATTGAACACTTGCCTGGGAAATCCACTGCAGAATCACCTACAAGGATATAATGGCAGTTAAAAACCTTTTTATATACTTGCTAGGAGAGGAGAGAAATCAAAGTAGGGGCTCCAAACAGTTAAAAGGGGAGCCTTGGAGCAATGGTAAAGTTGTCACTAATACTTGCATTAGGTTAGGCTGTCTACACCCTTCCGGACCTTGCTAACATGGGATGGTTTGTGCACCGGGCTGTCCTATAGACAACTCATTCAGAAAGCACATACAGAACATTATACATGAAAGGTAACACAATCAGCAAGATACCTAAGTTTTCTGTTTCCAGCAAGTACATACAATGTCAAGTTTGAGTGCAAGACCAATTATCCACAAGAAATTCAAGCCGGTACACAGAAATCTAATAATGCTGCAAGCGGTTAAATGCTTATTCATGTCATATACGGTATACATTTATGTCTTAAGTTCAATTAAGGCATTAAGACGTGCATTAACACATGTACAACAACAACAAGTGGGGTCTCAGAGAGTGGAGTGTAGACTGAAAGGACCTTTGGGATGTAGAGAGCTTGTTTCTGATAGACCCTCGATTGAAGGAATACATTGACACATGTGAGCATTACTAATCATTACCAGCAAAATTAGAGGTTCTTCTGTCTTATTAATGATATAGAAGCTTAGAATTCATTCAGGTGCTTATATACATTATACATGTCACAGAATGCATAAGAATTAGCAAGTGACTTAGTAGATGATAGAGCATTCAACATGAGCTCCCTTCAAAAGAAGATGACAGAACTATTAGTCTGAGAGTATATGGAAGTCACCATACCTGAAGAATGTCTCAATCCCTTGACAGCCTCAAAATTCTTGTAGGTATAGCCAACAAAACTTAAATCTTCGGGAATCAGACGCTTCTGCCAAAGTAAATATTACAACAGAAAAGAGTTACTGAAGCATGTCGTTATTGCTCAGATAGGACTCTTTACTCATTGTAGCAAACGAAAACTCACCTTTCGATTGGGTCCTGAGCTATTTTTTGCTGGTGCTTGATTTGCCTGCAGTGAGTTCCAATTGTACATCAGTTGCGAAAGAATTCTCAACCAAGCGTTGTTGGTAACAACAGTTAAACATGAATATCAAAATGATCATCCAAAACAAAGCTCAAGTATTAAATGAAAATAAAAAATGCTAATTTTATCAGTTATTATCCAGAAAATGGTCCCTCAATTCTACTTTCCATTCTCATTTTGCTTTTGATTCTCCTCTTTACTTTTTCACTTCTTATGGGCTTTACTTTTTCACTTCTTATGGGTTTTACTTTTTTTTCTCCAACGCTTCAATGCAAACATACTTTAGAGGAATTACTGTGCTGCGTAGATGCAAATCTCATAGCAAGTTTGTAATCAAGTAGAAGATAAAGAATCTAAAAACAAGTCATCACAGTCGTTGTTCATTGGTACCATAGGCTCATCTTTAGTAAAACGGCAGGTGCACAAAATATCCCGTCTAGGGAAGAGCCGCACCCCGAGGGGTCTGATGTAGGCTCATCTTTAGTGTCATCACGAAATTTCATCAGAAAAGGAGAGTAACACTGCTGAAATCCAAATCAAGACCCCGTGGATTGTGTGAAAGATGGATACTCTAAATTCATGGGTCAAAGAGTTTTAGAAAACGTGGAAAACTATGAGTAAAGGATCTTGAATAAATTCACCAGTTCTTTCTACTCTGATTGCCTGGACAAAAGAAAGAGGCGCCTTCACTTTTGTTTTATCATATGAATCTTTTGTCTCTGGCTATTTGGGATCCCCATCTCCATGCCAATGCAAGATATGCTTCAGAGGAAACTAAATTAATAGGAATCATATGGAAAATAATCTTCAGGGCATCAAAATTTCGATCTTGTCATGGTTGAATATAACCATATAAACTTTTAATAATCAAAACATAGGAGTTCAAGTTGTAGAAAGATAGCCACTAAAAATGATTCAGATCAATATGGCACTGTCATCAGAGAAAAAGGGATTAGCTAGCCCTGCCCTATCCTGGGAATATATTTGAAGTTTATGGGTTCCTACAACAATATAAAGTTAATATACAATTATAACTGAGTCCACAATCAAATATTTGTAGTTATTTAGTGGATTTTTAAATACATATATAGGGTTTAGGCAAAAGCTATTGAATCCCGTGAATCCATAGGTAACAGTCGTTATTCGTACTGTATTCCAGTAGAGATGAATATTAGGTACCAAAATAAACAGAGGTCATAAGATCACCAAGGTTAACTCTTGATCACACATACCACTAAGGTAGCTTGTGTAGTAGCGAAACATTGTGTCACGATTAAATTATGAAGATGAAAAATCACTTCTCACAAACATCCTCTAAAATTTGGAAAAGAAAACAGAAATGGGATAAGATATAAATGGTAATTTACCTCATCAAACTTCATGAAATTTTGAGTGTCAAGAGCATCATTGACTTCTGGCTTATATGCTGCCTCCATGTTATAAAGTTTATCCCACTTTATGTCTTTGAACCAGGGATGAGCCTGATTATAATCATGAATAAAGCATAAGAATCTATAATTGATCGAAGAATAAGACTATCCTTGTAACACACACCTTTATTTGCTCTGCTCCTCGACAACCAAGACGACTTTCAGCATCACAAAGCAACTTACAGATCAGGTCTTTGGCTTCAGGAGTTAATCTTGCTTCCTCTGGAAATTTTATGTGATTTCTCCAATGAACAATCTATAGAACCAGAACAAGTGTCAAAACATAGCATTTAAATCATGCTACATAAGCATCGTAACTGAACTGTCATTAGACGGAGCAGTTGCACAAGCATTTCAAACTATTCACAAGATAATTTGATTGTTAACTAAACAAAAAGGAAAAATGGATATCAATGTTGAACAGGAGAAAGTAGATTTCCTTTCTAAAGTTTTAAATTTCGTAGTGCCTCTCTATCTCTACGAGGTAGAGGTAATGTCTGCGTACTACCCTCCCCAAACCCCACCTGTGGGAGTGCACTGGGTATGTTGATGTTGCTGTTGTTGTTAATGCTGCTTAAAGAATTTTCACACACTTTGGCGGACCACTATACCTTTCTACATGTCGTTATCGGGTCTTCGGAGTAGAAAGGGGGATAACCAACGAGCATCTCATACATGATGGCGCCAAGTGACCACCTGAATGAAGCAAAGAAAAGAGGATAATGGATTAAGTCTATTAACTTTACTTGTCTATTCAAGGTGATCACACCTAAAAGAAAGAACATAAGTAAAACATTCACGTTTAAACTTTGGAAAGCAAGGCAATCAAAAACTTTAAAACATCAGCCGTTCATCACAAATAAGAAAGCTAACCAATCACATTCCACTCCATAGCCTTTCTTCAGTAAAACCTCAGGAGCAATATAGTCAGGAGTGCCCACTGTTGAAAATGCCTGCCATAGCAACAGGTTATATTAAAGTTCCAGTAACAAATAACCAAAAGATCATTTCTTGGAATAGTAAATGATATTTCTAGTTCGTTTCCATTACTCATGTGAAGCTAGGTACATACTGGTTGGCAGTCACATTTTGATAAAGTTCCGATGTGTCATTCACAAAGCATAAGAGGTATCTGAAAACGAAGTTGTTAACTTGCTCACTAAGCCTTTGCAGGATAAATGAGTGAACTAGACTTGTAACAAACTTGGCATGCATGACATTTACATTATACACCAGCTTTGGCCAGGGGGAGCTATTGGGTGAAAAGTTAGTCTTGTCTTTACTGTTGTAGACCATCTGTTACTTCAGAATATAAATAAGAGTAATACACAACACTAGTTATTCCCCCTACGGTTTATCTCCCATTCTTAAGAAAGTTCATCTAAGTACTTCAGTTTTTTCAGATGTCTCCACTGTGTAAAGATTTTTGTTTTAACAAAACTTCATACTTTTGAGAAGCAACGCCTCGGTGCTAACTTCAACATAATCATGTTTACTGACTTTGCTAAAATTTCTCCGGTAAAGTATCAGCTAGAGCTACGTATCAACAAGAGCTCTTTTTAATTATAGCAATATTATTTATGCATTTTTTAGATCCATATGAATAAACTCATCAAAAGCAGACATTTCAATACGACAGGTCCCAAAATTATGGAGATAAGTATGTTACTCTCCTGAAACAAATTGTTCTGTTTCAAAAAAGAATGCATCTTTCCTTTTTTTTTTGGCAACTCTTTAATTTCATCTTTCTACATGACTTGTTTAAGACCACAAGATTAAAGGATATTTTGGTACATTTAATAAATATTTAATTTAAGATTACAAGATTCAAAAGTCTTCTTTACTTTCTGAAATTTCGTGTCGAATCAAAACCAGACAAACAAATTGAAACGAAGGGAGTATTCTTCCAATTTTTAGTTTTTCTTCTCCATATCTATGATCCTTGAAAAATCAACCAAAATAAGGATTCTGGATTAAGTTTATAATTAATGAGATAAGCTGTGTTTCTGTTAATACTTAGTAATGTCCTACTTACTAATTTTCTCCTGTTTATTTGCCAATGCTGCAGTTGTTCAAGGGAGCTATTCCACTTGTTAGCAGATCCCTTTTGCTCACCATCAATCACTTCATTTTCATTTATAGGAGATAAATTCGAACAGTCAAGGGGCTTGCATAGACCAAAATCAGACAGCCTCATGTGACCATTTTTGTCCAAAAGAAGATTGTCAGGTTTTATATCCCTGCACAAAACATTATGTAAAAGACATAAATCATTGAGATCATTTCAAATCTTTCGTAGAAGTCTGCAGTGTATACCATTGCTCTTTACCAAATACAGATTAATAACTACCTGTGAATATAGTTATGCTTATGAATAGACTCTATGGCCAAAACACTTTGAGCAATGTAAAATCTTGCGACTGTCTCAGTTAATGTCTCCTCCCTCATCAGCAACGTCATCATATCACCACCAGGCAGATATTCCATTACCAGATACAAGTAGTCAGCATCTTGGAAAGAATAAAAAAGTTTTACAATAAAGTGGCTCGCTACTTCAGCAAGCAAATTCCTTTCGGCCCTAACATGTTCAACCTGTAATGTAAAGTGATGGTAAGAAAGACAATCAGATCACTTCTTAAAACAGAAAAATATAGCTTGTTCATTCATGCTCAAAACTGAAATCTAGAGAACTTTAGTTGTTCTCAGAGGCTTTTATTGGTTAGGGTGGGGAAGGAGTATAGAAGACGGGGTTTCATGTCTTCTCGTTGTCCCAGTTAGGGAATTATTTAGATAGAGAAAGAGGTTCAAAGGTATTACATTGAGAAAGGGAGAGAAATTCATGTTATGACATTAATGACTTGAAAGTTGGAGGGGAAATACATAAATAGTTAAATACTAATAGCAAAGAATCTTCTACTGAAAAGCAGTTGCCCTGCAACATTGGGCGAGCTCAGAGGAATCAGCAGTGTGGCATATTAAGCTGGATTTTCACAAGAGAAGAATAAAGGTATGCTGCATTGCCTTGCACATCTTGATATAAACAGTAGAGCAAAGTAGTAGGAATAAATCTTATTTAACAAAGAAGATGGATACCAATTGGCCCCTTAAGCATGTTAGGAAGGATTTGGTCTCACCTGCCCTCTACTTAGCATTTCAGCCTTCTTCAATTTTTTCATTGCATATATATTTTTAGATACTTTATCCCGGCACAACCTGACCTGCAAAATAGATTTGCATAAAAATCAGCAACTTATTATCAGGAGTCAGTGCTGGTAAACAGGAAACACATTCCGTGTGACCATGAGGTCATCGGTTTAAGCTGAGGAAACAACCTCTTGCAGAAATATAAGGTGAGGTTATGTACAATAGATGCAATAGCCAATATGGCACATCCCTCCCCAGACCCCGTGCATAGCTGGAATTTAATGCATCAGGCTGCCCTTAATGTCCAATAAAAGGAACAAAGAAATTTTTCTTCCTGAGAACTACAGAACCCTTTGAAAGCAATTAAGATTTTCAAACTTAGGGCACTCCAATGACAGAAATTATCATAACACGGAGCTACATAAGAATAGTGAGAGATACAAAAGCAAAAGCATCATGAGTGACTCCAATAATTAAATGTCTAAATAAATTTAAAAATCTAATGATGCATCTTGAGAAGGTAGAATGTGATCATGGATTTTACATGAGAATGGAAGAAATTCATTGGACATGCTCCTTCTGGTTAAGCATATGAAGCAGATGATCAATGAAACGTATGACATAGAAACCAACTCTATAAAAGTTCAATTTATTTCATAGTACATAATTCAGTCCTAGAGGTTGAACAGTCCAGATAACAAAAAACATAGGGGGTGGGGTGGCGGGACATAATACCTGAAGAGTGAAATATTTTTCAATCTAAAGAGAGAGAATCTCAAACCTCTCCAAAAGCTCCTCTCCCAATGATTGTCAAAAGCTCAAAATCATCGACAGAAATCTTGTGACGCTTTAGTCGGATATACTCTGTCTCTTTTCTCTCCAATTCCTTTAGAAGGTTCATTTGTTCCTCCTTTGGTACACCAGAGCCTTCCAATTTCCTTTCTAGCAGTGAACGCCTACAGTTTATATACAATAATACATGAGGGGATACAAAAAAGAATTGTCAAAATTCCATCTAATATCACGCTCCTTCAGTGTGATTGGCTCAACTTATATGTATGTGAGCCTACAAAGTGCATTTAACATAACTCGGTCTGCAACAGTTAAGTTGAAAACAATTTTTTATTTCAAGATTTAGAGTAGTACAATTTGGAGGACAAGAGGTGCTCCATTACAATAACAACCAAGTAAACAAGATAAGACACTAGCTACATGCATCTCTCTGAGACCTTTGTTGATCAAAGGTAACCCCTAAGCATATGTTAGCCACTTAGCCCAGTCCTTATACAGAAAAATCATGACTTTATCCAACACTGGAGGAGATAGAAACTCTTAGCTCTAAAAGACTGATGCTCTCTTCAGTGATAGAGACCATAAAAGATCCTTGCTCTCTTATCCATCCTGACACACTACTGTGAGGAGAAAGAGAATTGCAGAAACCCTTTCCATAACAGAAGTGGTGAAGTACAAAATCTTAACAACAACTAGGCCTCAATACCAAGCTAGTACGAGTTAATAGTGAATCCTCACTATCCACTTCCTCCATTAGAACCCGCTTCATTTAATATTCATTAGTTCGGGGTTCTCTAAAGGTTCTATTGACCTGCAAATATCTAACAGATCAAAAAAAAAAAGAAGCTCCTGGCTACACTGGACCTAATATAAGCACAATCTCATAAGTGAGCCTTAATCCCAACTACCTGTTGTCTCCTACATGGACCTTTTTCTTCCACTATGTCCTATGTTTTGCTAAATCGACATGAATTTTGAGAGATTGTAGGTCCTTTCAAGACAAAGTAAGTCCATGTGATTTCAGATATATTTTGTCCATGTTTACTACCTTCAATCATCAAGGCTGCTTGCTTTTATTTCTTGATAGAGAAAAGGAAATTTCAGGGGAGAAGCTTTCTAAAGACAAAAGGAGAGAGTGACTCTCTTGCTTGTCAGCTTAGAAGTAGATTTTGTCTTGAAAATAAAGAAGAATTAGGAGTTACATTGTCTTTCAAACCAATCACATAAGTTTGCATATCCAAATGAATGTGTGTGTATATCCAAATGAATGTGTGTGTATATAACATGAAAATCCAAATACATTGATACCAACTACACATTCCACATAAAAACTTGTCTAGATAAAATGTTCCCATTCCAAAAATCATAAACGTGAAAATTCCAATAAATATTCTATATATAAATTCATGAATTGATAATTTTTATATTGGCTGTCAACCTACTACATTGGTACCAGCTACATTTCGCAGATATTACCCATTCAAAACTAAAGGTTGTCCAAATCACATGTTGCATTCCAAAGAAATGTTGTATATGTACATCCACAAAACACGAAATCCAGAACGAATGCCTACACCAAAATTCCTCTAGCTGGACACCCATCACATTGGGACATGGAGCTACACCTTGCACACATTTCCAATTCAAAGTCTACAATTACCTAAAACTCACATGTTGCTCCCCAAATAAACGTTGCATATATTCATATACATAAAACACGAAATCCGAAATAAACACCTAAATGAAAATTCAAAATCCTATCATTTTTACCTAGCTGTCAAACTCTCTGTGCCACATTGAGATGATCAAGCTACAGACTGCACACATTTCCAATTCAAAATCTAAAGTTACCTAACAATCACTTGTTGCATCACAGGTAAATCCAAAATAAACGCCTAAACGAAAAATTCAAAATCCAATCATATTTACCAAGCTGTCAACCTCTCTGTGCCACATTGAGATGATCAATCAAGCTACATATTACACAGATTTCCAATTCAAAATCTAAAGTTACCTAAAAATCACTTGTTACATCCCAAATAAATCCTAAATAAACGCCTACCAGAAATATTCAAAATCCAATCATTTTTACCAAACTGTCAACCTCTGTACCACATTGAGATGATCGAGCTACACTTTGCACACATTTCCAATTCAAATCTAAAATTTGCATTTACATAATGATGAAAATTCATTATCCGATCATTTTTACCACATTGAAACGATCGAGCTACACTTTGCACACATTTCCAATTCAAACACCAAAAGTTACCAGAAAAAACCACAATCGCATTAACATAATCCCGAAAATTTCAAAAATCATATAATTAGAAGAGAAAAAATACCTTTGTTTACGATCCTGGATTAGTTTCATATGCGATTTATAATGATCTTCGATCAATTTCTTCGCAGCAGCGACTCGTTCTAGAGTCAAACTAGAACCTAATTGCTCCTCCAATTCTTCCTCTTCCTCCTCCGTCAACGCTACCGTTCTATGTTGTTGTTGCTCTTCCTCCTCTCTGTTCTTCGCCATAATTTAATATCTTCGATCAATCGTCTTCCTATATCAGGGCGACGATTGAGCGAATCGGCGAAGATGAAGAAGAAGAAGGAGGAGAAATTCAATTATTAATTTTTTTCGATACGAAGATCGTTAAAAGGGAGAAATGAAGATAGAATTGGACGGAGGGAACTTTGAGAAGAAAAAAGAAGAAAAACAAAACAGAAAATGGGAGTGTTAAAAGAGGAAGGCTGTTAGTTTATTTTTTTTTAAAATTTTTAAATGGACTATAATTTTTGTTTATTGATGACGTGGCACTGTATTTTCGGCTGGGTCCCAGTTTGTAATTGTGGGCCCCGTTGTGTGGAGATGCCACGTCAGACTAATGGAAACATTTTTGGCGGTAATCCTGAGGGGTTTCGAAAACATGTTAATATGTTCTAATGCTAATTTCTAGGGGGTAGGGATGATAATGGGGTGGGGTTATGCGGGGTAGGTGGGATGCAGGTTGGGTTGAAGTGGATTTTTTTTTAAATTAATGCGGGGTGGGTTGCGGGTATATATAATTTTATATAGGTTTAAACGTAATTTTAACTTTTTACAGGTTATAAGAGTGATAGAACATTATTTATTAAAATAATTTCTTTAAAGCTATTAAAATATTCAAGATAGTAAATGAAATGGTTCAATAAAAAATATTACATGTTTTTCAATTGACCTCTAGAAAATAATTTTTTAACTCACTATCTTATTAAATTAATACAACTTAATGGAAAAATGAATTTATTTTTATGAATTATATTTTTAGTATCAAACTTAACTAGAAAAAAAAATATTAAAAAAATTATGCGGGGCGGGATGGGACGGGTTGAAAATGAAAATAAATCGTTATGCGGGGTGGGGCGGATTAAAAATTTTGCGGGTTAAGATCAGCCTTCACTGCCCCATTGCCATCCCTATCTAGGGGTGTCAAATGAGTGGGTTGGGATGAAATTTTGGAGACATTAGAATGGGTTGAAATAGAAATTGGGTTGGGTCTTGACCCGCCAAGTTTACTTTGGGCTCAAATGGGCTTAAAATTGGGTTTGATCATGACCCGCTTAATTTCAATAATTTTAACATATTGTAATTTAACTTTTATAACCACAATTTGAATTTCAATTGAAGAAAATTTTTTAGAAAAGAAATTACAAATGGATAGATAAATCCTAAAAGATTCTCCCTCCATCCCTGTTTAGTTGTCCACTTTAGAAATGACACACAGATTAAGGCAACAATGATTAACTTAGTGAAGTTACAATTTTACCCTTATAGTATAATTTACAATTCCAAAATAAATTAACTCAAGATAACTAATCAATGTTGGGAAGTTCATAAGTTTATTTACTTTATTTATGACAATTTTATTTAAATAAGGGTATAATAGGAAACAATTTGTTATCCTTTCTTGATTTGTCAAAATGGACAACTAAATAGGGACGGAGGGAGTATAAAGTAGTTTGTAATTCATACCTTCAATATAGGAACATATATTACATCAATACATACAAGTAAAAATTAGGCAAATGACATAGTATAAGAAAGAAATTACTTCCTTTCCCTACTCTTTCATTAATTACCAAAACTCCCTTTTTTTAGTATTTTTCGGATACATAATATAGCCATGTGGATACTTAATATAGCAGCGCGGATCTTTAATTAATAACGGGCGGATACTTAAATTATTAAGTTGTTAACAGTACAGATACTTAATTAACGGGCGGATGCATAATATAGCAGCGCAGATACTTTAATTAATAGCGGGCGGATACTTAAACTAATAAAGTATCCGGTTAAGTTGAATTGAGGGAAAATAAAGGGGATTTTTGTATTTTAGTAAAAGAGTAGGGAAATATTGAGAATAGGTAAAGAAGTGTTGCGTATTTAAGTAATTTTTCCATACAAATAAAGAGTCTTAAAACAAATTGAAATTGGAGATTAAATTGGGCCCAATTAAGGATTATCTTAAAATGAGTTAAGGTTTGAATGAGTTGAGATTGAACAATTCAAATTATTTTGAACCCAATCTTTAAAATTTTTAGGCATATTGGATGGATTACTTATAATTGGACTCATTTTTTACACCCGTTCTATCGAAATTACGTGTCGAAATTAGTAATAATGGCCTTCAAATTCTTGAACAAATGAATAATAAAAGTTAAATTCATATATGGAATTATTAAGATTAAGAGCAACTCAAAATACATGTCATGATATTATATCCTTAGTGATTGAGAACAGTGTGAGAATGAATATCATTTAAATTTTAACCATCCTTAATAAAAATAGTTAGATCAATAAATTCTATATCATCGCCTTCTATTGATTTCTATATGTTAGTTTTATGTCTTTCAAAATTATCAATTTTTTATTATTTGCTACTTGAAATTAATTTGTATTTATGCGTGAATTGAATAATATTTAAATTATAGCACTAACAAAGTTTTTTTTTTTTTTTTTGATGAATAGATAAATTCATCAAAATATTTCTAATTCCAATTCTTTAGCAGTTATTGTTCCTCGCGAATTTCATGCCCCAACTAATTTAAATACCAAATTGATTTTTATAAAATACCCATGAACTTCCCCAACTAATGTTGAACCAACCTTTACAGCTTTGGTGAAGTCATCTTTTTAATTACCATTTTGAATAATTTCACATAAAAAAAAATCAAAAAATTTCAACCTACATATGATGAAACTTTAATTTTGAGTTATGTAAAATGAAGGATTGTCTTGTGCAATATTGTGATATAGATGAGAAATAGATGGATGTTATGATAAACGAGTATGTTATAAATGGATGTTAATTGTTATGATCGAGACGATCAGTGGAAAAAAAGTACTCTTTGATTTGGAATTATTGAGTTTGCATGAAAGAAGTATTTATATGGTTTACGGCTTAGAAGTTGGAAAAATATCTACATTTTCTTTTGAACTATGTGAAAATATCAAATTTACTTCTGAATTATATATTAATGATGTAGATTAATTTTCATTAGTTAATCGTTAATCAATAAGACTAATTCTAACCATACTTTGCTTTCGCAATAATATCCTTGTTGCTATCAAAATATACAAGTAATTAAATTTGTCCGTACATTCAAATGACGAAATCTTAGCACATAATGATATCACATATCTCACAATTAAGGATTATCTTTTATATAGAGAATAAATTTGAACCTTCTCTCTTCATGTCATTATCTTTGCCGTCAATCACTCTTTCTTCCTCTTTGATCCTTATATAATTAGACACTTTGTATTAAACTAATATTTTATGTTCATGTTCAAATTGTTTAGCGCATTTCTATTGCTGGTAAAGATTGTGGTGGAGCGAGAAAGAGAGAAAAAGTGAAAGGAGAAGGGAAGAGAAGATAATATATAGTGAAAGCGATATTGGCAATGATAGTAGAGAGAGACAAGGAGGAAGAAGGAAGAAAAGATGATTGATGATAGAAGTAGTAGCGGGGAGAGCGAAAGGAGGAACCAATTTTTTTTTTAAAAAAGAACTCAAAATTAGAAAGAAGAGCTAAATTTGTCTGTGAACTATGTGAAATGTTCAAATTTGCCTCTAGCTAGATTATTAAAAAGGTTCAATTTTTTCCATTGTTTTTTTAAAAAAGAGACAAGTATTGTAAACACTCCTAAATTTGGCATGAATTATCAGTTTCTTCACCGAACTATTGACAACCTTAAAAAAACAACTCATTTACTTGACTAACTCAACTTAAATACACCCCTAATCTTGTAAGTAAAAAATACCCTTAAATTCTCATCAAGTTTAGGAGTGTTTTCAACACTTCTCTCGGTTTTTTATTAAGAGTCACATGCTCTTACAAAAAATTGAGATCATTTGTTATGTCTTGTGGCAGATCGGGGTGTACCTAATTAAGTAGATGAGTTTTTTTAAGACTATCAATAGTTTGAGAATTAAATAAATAATACACGCTAGATACATGGATATTTTCAATACTTCTCTCCTTAAAAAGTTAATCTTAACTATGAACATGTGACATCACTGAATGCTAAACTTATATTATTTAAAAATAAAATCAAACTTAGCTTGTTTTAATAATGGCAAAGACTTATTTGACTCCAACTATTAATCGAGGATAAATCTATTCCATTTCACATGATCCAATAGCAAATTTAAGTTTTTTTACCTTTTTAAAAGAGGGAATATTTTTGGTCTATGTGCTTGGGAGTTGAGACCATCTACAAGGTACAAAAATGAGGCAGTCAAATGACAATTGGAATCATTAAAATTATCTCTTTGACTGTCAAAAACAGTTGGTATATTTTTGGATTATTATCAATTCTAGTCAACTTCAACCAAAAAATATATTTGTCAGTGTATTCTAAAGTCAACAAAATATTGAGGAAAAAGACAATACTATTTGTTATATCATCATGATGCAAGCATTACATGTGAAAAAAATAGACTTAATTATTCTTAAAATTAAATATTTTTTTATATTAATCAATGTATTTTTGTTAGTTATGGAAATTATCTACCTATATTATTGTTTATTTGTTGTAAGTCAAAGGCAGCCTCAACTCGTCTATCATGTGTCTTGTGGACAATCGACGTTGATGTATCACATAAAGAGGTGTTTAGATGATTATTTTGTAAGTTAAAGTATTCAACTAATATATTGAATACGAGTTAAGATTTATAGATATACATCTTCAAAATTGGAGTGTTGATTTGTTAGCTGAAGTTAAGGTATACATAAAAAATCAGACATGTTGACTAATCATTAGTTGATCATTTCACAAGCAGGTTGGGAGCTATTTTTGTCCAAGGGAGTTGATTGTCCCTTTTAGTTAGTATTGTAAGTTGAATCTCTTTAGTTTCTTCGTATCTGTTTACTTATTTATATTTTAAATTTTCTTATTAAAAATGTTGATTGTGTTTTTATTCATCACTCACAAGTAATTACATTATAATTGCATAAAGTCAGAGGTAGTATTTTCACACAAGCCATGCAGTCAACAAATTGTTGATTGTAGGTGTCATTTATCTAAAATCCAAATAAAAGTAAACTTAAAGTAGAAGCAAGTCAACCTCATTTGCTCCCCTAGTTCCTTTATGGACCCTTAGGCTATTAATGAGGTCAATGAAAATGCTAAAGTAATAACTAACAAGATCAATTTGAAAAGTTAGTAGAGTT